CGCTGTGAATCTCCAAAAATCAACAAACCTCCTCTTAGATCAGCGCTAGCTGCGATATAGTTGAATGTATCCATGTTGATCACATCAATTATAGGTGCAACAACAGCTTTGTTATTCTGAATATAAAATCCAAATTGCAGCGCAACGAATCTAATCTCGTACAAAATTGAAAAATAACCTCGTTTATGCGGGCAAGTAAAGGCTCCAACCATTCAACATTACATTCCACATGACTATCAAGGAAAGTAAGGATTGGAGCTGTAGCATATGCAGCCCCTTTCACTCGAGAACGAATAAGACCTGCAATAGTGGTTTTCAAGCACTAATTCAAAGCGAATGATAGGTTCCAACTACCTTCGCGCTTGATGTTCCTTAATACTGTAACCTTCTCCAGTTGTGCTATATCCTTACCGATAGATTCTAAAAGGGAAAAATAAAGATATTGCTTAGAAAAAAATTTATATCACGCTTACCATCCTTCGAGCAGTCATCCACAAGTATAATTTCATGAATAAGATGAGGTGGAGATCGTAGCATTACACTGTATACAGTTCGCAAAAGAGTTGATCTGGCTTCGTTATGATATGTAACTATGACGGAGGTGGGCTCCAGCACAGAAGTGTCGTATGTTAATTTTTTACAGCTCAAATTTAAAAAAAGTAAGCAAATTCAACAACAAATAACCTGTTAAAACCTACTGATGCTCTCTGCTGTCAATAATATCCCTTCTCACAGATGCTGTATCGCTAGCTGCTTGGTTGAACTTATTCGCGGCATATTTATCCTTAAATGAAGAAGAGATCTGGTACAAAACAATGAAAAAAATTCCAGCCAGAAGTGTAGAACTATTGACGGGGAGGGGTGAACAGTTTAATTGAAAATTTTCGACGCTTTTAGAAGGAAACCCAGATCTAGCTGGTGGGAAAATGCAAAAAGTAAAGTAAAGAAATATGAGCAAAATTACCTCGCCAGGTTTGAGCTTCCCTTTAGCCACGTAACCTTCCGCATCAAATTCAGCCAGATTGAGCACAGGCTGAGGTTTCGGTTGAATTGCAGTGTTTGCTAAAACAAAAATTCAATACTTGACAAAGAATTAAGGCTATAATTGTGCTATTACTCAAGATTCTCAAAAAAAAAAACATTTGAGAACTTTAACAACGCACTTGATTGGGTCAGAAATTGAAACAAAATTTCGACAACTACAGAGAATAAACACCATTAGTAGAAGGCAATCGATAACTCACAGAATCTGTCCAAAAATGACGTCGGTGTCTCTTCGTGAACGACTGGAACTTCTTCTGCCGACTTTAGTGCTGAGGTTGGTGGAATTTGCGGCAACGGAGGATCTATGTACATTTCTTCTGGAGGAGGTTTTATACCCCTATGAGGCAGATTCAAATCTCCAAATTTGTCTTCCTAAAAATATCATAAAACAAAAAAGAAACAGATGAAGCGTACAAGAACCTACCCTTCTATCATAAAATCCGGATGTCATAAAGTAAACGATTAGAGAAATCCAAGAAGCTAGGAGAATGGCCACAAGAACCCGTGATCGACATATTTTTACCATTTTCGAAGAAAAGCTCGGAAAGGATAGATGATATCAGCTTATGATGCACCTGAATGGACAAAGGCAAAGTGAAGATGCAAATCTGCAAATGGGCAAAACATGATATTTTGTCAGAGCGAATTGCATACGCTGAATTTCTGCAAGCAGATATAATGCATAACGTCAGCAAGCGTGAGAACGTGAAATAGGACACCATGCTGCTGACAGTATAACAGACGTCAAGGGGCATTCTATGTAAAATCACAATTTCGGTCAGAAAACTTACTGTGACTCTGAATAGCACTACAAATGAATGACGCGGCACTTGCTGCACTCGTGGACCGCTTACCTTGACCGAAGCATATCTGTAAGAAATGTTGCCTAATAAACATAAAAACAAAAAAAAAGTTCAATATTTTTGAGAAATGGATTACAAAAGTTGCGTGCAAACTGTGAAAAAGGTGATCTGATTCCAACGGAGATGGATTAAAATTCCAAATGTGTCACAATAAATATTTAGTTTTCTAAGCTTTTGCGTATGATTCCAGTTGTTTCATCAGCCTTGTACTATGTTTAAAAAACAGTGTGAAATATGCGTATTAGAACATAACTACGTTTTTGATATTAAGAAAAATTTACGCGTTTGCACTATGTTCTAAAAAACCAGAAGAAAAGGAAAGGAAAAGACTA